GTAATTATATGTGTTAGTTTATCGATTTAAACCATTTACCCTTAACCACTATTTGTTCACGATCGAAGCTAAATTGGTCCAAGACCCTATAAGCTCTCCCACCGGTCATAACGCCGGGCCGACCCGCCCGCCCGGCTGATGGGCCGTGGTCAGCCCATATCATTAGTTAGTTCGCATTAAAATTATCGTGTTGCTGTAAAAATTTACAAAACTTACTACTATGCAGTATGTAGGATTACAGTACGATCCCCCGAAGGGAACCAATTTTCATACCCCCACATTTAATAACCATGGGTCTCTATCATTTTACTGACAACCACTTTCCCTACCTAAAAACAAAATCCCGACAAAAATTGACCAGAAATAACCCTAATGCGGGCTAACTTGTCAGGGTTTTGACATTTTAGGGAAAGTGGTTGTCAGGAAAATGATAGGATCCGAATAACCATACCCCCCTTAAAAAATAAAGCCTTTGAACAAAGATATCTCGGCAACCACCTGACCAAATTCGATGAAGTTTTTTTTTATTTTGATTATATAATTTTAGTTGATTCGAATAAAAAAAATTTATCGAATTTGGTCAGGTGGCTGTCGAGATATCTTTTTTCAAAGTTAAAAAAAAAAAAAACTACAAAATGCCTATCAAAATATTCTTTAAACCTTTGAGCAAAGACGTCTCGTCTCGACAACTACCAGACCATCTAAACTCGTATAATCAAAATAAAAAATTCATCGAATTTGATCAGGTGATTGTCAAGATAACTTTGCTTAAAGTTTCAAAAAAATTAAATGTCTATCAAAATAAAAAGCAGCGCCAAATTTCTTTAAACTTTAAGCGAAAATATCTTGACAGCCACCTAATTAAATTCGATTATTCTTTTTTATTTGAATTCTTTATTCTCATAGAATTCAAATAAAAGAACCTTCATCGAATTCGATCAGGTGGTTGTCGAGATATCTTCGATCAAAGTTTTTAAAAAAATTTGGCACAGCTTTATTTTGATAGGCATTTTGAGTTTCTTTGAGCGAGAATATCTCGACATCTACCTGATCAAATTTGATGAAAAATTTTTTTTTATTTGAATTCTATGATAATAAAGAATTCAAATAAAAAAAGAATCATCAAAGTTTATTAGGTGATTGACGTGATATTACGCTCAGAGTTTTAAAAAAATTAGGCGCAACTTTTTATTTTGATAGATGTTTTGGATTTTTTTGAAACTTTGAGCGAAGTTATCTCGAAAACCACCTGATCAAATTCGATGAATTTTTTATTTTATTTGATTATATGAGTTTAGAAGATTCGAATAAAAAAATTTTATCGTATTTGGTCAGGTGGTTGTCGAGACATCTTTGCTCAAAGTTTAAAGAATTATTTTGATAGCGTTTAGGTTATTTTTTTTTTATTCGAATCAACTAAAATTATATAATCAAAATAAAAAAAAATTTGGTCAGGTGGTTGCCGAGATATCTTTGTTCAAAGGTTTTGTTTTTGCGGGGGTATAAAAATTGGTCCCCTTCCCCGAAAGTTATTTCCCCGCAAACTCATTTCCCGACACCGTAATATCACCATGCTATTTCATCTACGGCACATTTTTTCGATAAGACATACTTTTGATATTGCATGTTTTTTACAAATCCTTTCCTAGACAAGACATTTCCTCGGCAATTATTTCGCCGACATATAATTCTAACCAACATTAGCTCTTATTCAGGCCAACCCTAAGCTAAATCGGGTCAAATTTTATGTCGAAGAAATTTCTTGGTTAAGGAAAGGGTTTTGAAATCATGCAATGCCGAATATAATTATATCTTATCGAAAAAATGTACTTTGTAAAATATAATGTCGGCATTACGGCATCGGGGAAATGAGTTTACGGGGAAGTAAATTTCGGGACAACTAAATTGATTATAACCAAGTTGGATATTTTTGTAAAGGGCTTATGCAAATGCTTTTATTCCTTTAACATCAATTTAATTAGAAGGAAGATTAGGAAAGATTTAGGAAAAGACACTTTAAAAAACAGTCAACAGTGACAGCATATCATAACACAAGAATAAACAGATTTGACTAAATTATACTCTTAACTTACTTAATTTAGGCCGAATTCTTGTCATGCAATATTATGATGATTACTGAGTTTAATATTCTTAACCAATTCCTTGACTGCATGCGTCTGAGTAAAACATTTTCTTTGAGAGTCCGCCCGGATCTTTGTTACCGTATATTACTACTTAATACCCCGATCACTATATCAAGATCACGGGGTATTAATTAATAATACCCTGACCGTATGTGAATCAGCGGAAACTTCGTTTCCGCTAATCCCCAACGGATCAGGGTATTATTATTACTTATACTCTAGATAAATACAACTATTTCGCAAGTTTTTTTTTTTTTTTTTTTTAACAAATTTCATTCTTTAAAAATACCTAAAGTTTTAAATCAGGACATTGGTTATATATTCATCCGTTCCTGGTTTGGCAGCCGATAAAATTCACTATTTTTGTACTAGTTAACGGTAGCTTGCGGACTTGACGAGTTTTGTACACAATGTCAAAACGTTCATACATTTTTATGCATTTACCTAAAATAGCATATCTAGATCCTACTAGAATATGCTTAAATTTGATGTCGTCAAAAGCGGGGTAAGTCATGTCGTCATAACTCTTTATTAGTACATGATTTGCATAAACGGTACAGCAGAAAAGTAACGATATCGATATCGATGGATATCCTTTAACCTCCAAACTAGGAAAGTCATATGGGTTATATAAAATACATATTCGTGTAACGTAACAGGTAACATGTTTTTATCTAAATTGGTTCAAAAAAGAAATAAATTTATCCGTTCAAAAAAAAGTTACGTAACCATATTTGATTATGATCTTACAGCAAAAATTTGATTTATAGATAGATTTTATGGGCAACTCGATAATAAGCTCTATTACTAAAATTTTTTCAGCGAATAATTAAAAGCTATGTACTTAAGAACGCCTATATATATTCTTTGTATAGATGAGATATGATATTGGTTAACATTCGTCTTTTAGTATTAACATATTAAGAAATAAAAACCTTTCTTTAAAACTTACCACAAAAAGTAATATTATTATGCATACAATGCATTCATTGATTCTGAATTATTACACTATTTTTTTCATTGAGATGATACCATAAAAGTCTTTCCAAATATTGTATTCGTGCAAGAAGTTTTTGCACGATATAATGATAGTATAAATTATTTTGAGAGTTCCATAAAGATTGATCTAAATTATAATGATTATCATTTTTGGCAGTTAACGAAAGAGATGATTCAAGCATTAAAGGACTGTGATCCCTAGCAAATGTCATAGATTGTTCGTCAATGATTGGTGTAGGTTCAAAATTAAAAGAATCGACATCTAACATCGTGTCAATATTTATATCGGACAGAGATGCCGAATCATCGTTAATATCTTCTTTGTCCACGTCTTTTTCCTGATTATCTCTTTCATCCCGATTTGGATCAAAATAAAGAATTTTTAAGCCCCCATTAATATCATCCTTATTCATATTGTTCTGATTATATTGATTATCTGTAACGACACATAAAGGTGCTATATTTTTAAAGCGAATTTTTGCATCTTCTGCAAGCTTTCTATAGGCATTTTTAACGTGCTCTGTTTCTTTATGCCAACTTTCGCTAGCCTTCGAAGAAATCTCTTTTAAAGATAGATCGATATTCAGTTTTGATATTTCACGGTTAAAAACTTTTCGATAAATAATGAAAGGATTGGGAGTTCTATTATATTTAGAATCTACATTGCTAAGTGATTTAGAAATTAATTCTTCAATCGTTATTTTCGGAGGAAACGATGGCTTAAAGTTAGATATTGAAGTAGATGTAGGAGAGAAGCTAGCAATAGTAGTTTTTTTGTTACGATTTTTTGGCATAGTATAGTATCTGCTCTCAAGATTTTAAAATAAAAAAAATTTTTTGAAAACAAGCAAATAAAACTCATATTTATGTATGTATATTTTTCCATAATTATCCTTCAAAGTTGATAAATATAGTTAATCCTATAGTGAATGATCAAGGGAAAATACCCTAATAAGGACATAAGATTAAAAAGGGTGCCCCTATAATAATGACTCATGATAAGATTCCGAATATTCTCGAGTACGTATGCACACATGAGATACTTAATTGCCGCATTCAATAATTTTTAAAGAATTGAATTTTCTTTTTTTTATAATAAATCGCGGCATGTGACAGTTGAGTTTTTAGTCCCATTGCTATGTGCACACGTGTTTATTTATATGAACTTTTTTTTTTGTCCGAAAAATTCAATATTTAGGTTTGAGATATAACTTAGAGTTCCAACAAAAAAGTACCGAAGCAACCATCTGATTTTCGAAACATTGGTTTTATTTACTAAAGGGATTTTTGTTTATACACACGCGCATTTACTTAAGTTCCTGATTACTTTGTTTATTAAATACGTGTCAAAAATGGAAATATGTTAAAGCTTTGTAGTAATAATAATTTATAGACAAATTAAAAAAATTAATGGACGCAATATATATGTGGGATCTTTGCTAGAAAAATCACCCTTCGGGGATTTTCCGATTGGGCTAATTCGAAAAAGCTCTTATTCATATGTAAACCATCGTTTTACTTTATTGATTCGACAGTTTATTTAATAAACTATCGAATCAATAAAGCAAAAGGTCATTTACATATGAATAAGAATCGACATTCTGGTTTAAGCGTTTTCGAATTAGCCCGATCGGAAAATCCCGAAGGGTGATTTTCCTGGCAAAGATCCCATATACTGCACGTAGAAAACGAGAGTGCAAGTATTACATGGTAAAAACCATTTTATAAAAAGAATGACTTTAATATTTCTTTATGTCTCACATATTCGTAAATCTATTGTACCTAACGAGTTGATTATATTCACGGAGTCCGGAAAATGGATATGCATAGTATAAAGCGAATTAATTTGACATATTTTTAAGTATGCACTTTTAAAACCGCTCTATTACTGTATAAAAGGATAATATCATCCGGTCTTTTTTTGCAGATCTTTGCAGTAGATCATAAATAGCAATATTATAATGATATAAAGTGTTACGTGTAAATCGTATTGTCTCGCTATATATGTACGTACGTAAGGTTAAAAGTTCATCCTTCGTATATGTGCAGCTTTTAGTTTTGTGTTGTATGAATTTCATACATATCTATTTCGAATAATTCTAATCTTATTAAAGTCGATAATTTGGGATGCAATACATGCATGCATATAGAATATTTCTTAAATTATCGACTTAAATAAAGAACATACTTACATATACGTTTTATTGATATTAATTGTCTAGGAATATTTGATCACAATGTTTATATTTTGTTTCTATAGGTATAATTGTGGATATTAGATTTCTTGTACTGTATGAGTGCTGCTAAAAGATTTTGAGCTATTAAATTTATTAATTTCTGGAGTTGGATTTTTATGATATATGATTAAATGAGACATTAAATTACTGTAGAATTTAAAAAGTCTAAGATTTAGGTTTTTTTTCTAGTAGCATCATGCATCGATTTTTAGTGAGATGAGAATAAAAGCATAAAATTAAAAATGACATTATATTCATCTTTATATATATATAACTTCCAATTTTATTATTTGGAATAGTGACTAAAAAATGTGTCATAAATCATAGTCTATAGAGCGTAAATAACGGTAGAGTCAAGCTCATGCTCTAGAAAATAATTGATCTACATCCAAAGTTTGATTCAAAAGATTAATCTAAATTATGTTTAAAGTTACAAAAAACATAGTGAGTATCAAGACCATTATGAATATAGTAAATAAGTGAAATGGAATGTATTATATAGTTTATTGAAGACCAGATCTTGTATAGGAGGTTACTCAAGAAAGAAAATGATAGAGTCACAAATCTTACATCATTTAATCAGCTCAATCATATTCGAGATCAGACTATGATTTTTTTCACAAGTACTGTATTAATATTAAAAAACTTTTACGGTTGGAAATATTAAAACACTAATATGATTTTTAACAATATACTCTCTAATATCAGCGAAAAAGTATTAGAATATTTTTTATATCAGAATGCTCGTTAATTCCAATTTATCTGTAATAATCTTCAGACGTGATTGACTAAAATTGCATTCTATGTGCCTGATTTAAGCGCAATTGTGTCGCGCAGCTATCTAATTCATATACCAAATTTATATTACACTTAAAATTTTTCCTCGCACAATGATATTTATGTTTCACTATATTCTTTCAGTTCTATTATGATGTTCAATTCAGTAGAGTGAAGTTGGGACGGAAAATTTTTTGATATCCCTGAGACATACTCTGGGATACTGTACTCCAACCCTGATACATATAGACAGTTTTTAAGCCACATAATAAAAATAAAGTCACCATAAAAATTCTGATGAGACACTGTAATACTTTGATATTCGAAATGCTCCCATTCATTAATAGCAATAATGATACCCGGACCATCTGCAGTCCAGCACCGGATGATAAGGAAAATATAACAACAAATCTTTCCTGAGCCATTGCTTATAAATGAATGTTTAAAATAAATATTTTCTTTATGATTATAATAAAATTATATGAGACAATGACCATGATAGTTGTTATGACGTTGACGATATACATTGTTGTTTTATCCTAGAATTGCAATAAACACTAATAGGATTACATAAAAGGAAGTTCGATTTGCAAATTGCTTATGTATCGGATACGTACTCTACATACATATACATGATAATCAGAAATTACCATAACTGAGTTCATAAATATAAATATTATGAACATTTAAAATTTTCAAATATTATTTTGAAAAAATGCATTCAGAGTAAATCACGGAATATTCATAAAGCGAAATTCCGTGAAAAAAAATATATTACGGATTTTATATGCGGATCAGAATAATTTTTATGGAAAAAAGTTTCCTATTTAATAAAAAACATTCCGAATGATATATCTCAGAATGCAAAATATTCAATTCCTGATGGATATTTCCGTATTGTTCCGAAAGATATCTTAAAAAAAGGTCCCTGGGCAGATCTCTATATGCTCAACTATAGTAATGTAATATTTTTAAGGTTCTTTTTATAATCTATTTAGAACATTATGTAAATTTGTATTTGGTGGAAACGAATTCCGAATCTAATTACTAAAAATGTCTAATAACTTTGCAACCTACTGCGGGAGGCATTTGCTGAGGCGTAGAAAAACTTGATTGAATAACATGGTATACATTATTTACTTATTGTCCGGAGCGTAGAGACGGACACTTAATTATTACGCTAAAGTGATACAAAGTTACTTTTAACCAAACTAGGTTACCTTTTTGACGCATTTACATAAATATTATGAAGATCACATCAGAAACGTAAACTGGAAATTTTTGTCGGTCACGCCACGTGCCTACTATATTTGTGCTTTAAGTGTAATAAAAATATGCGTTTGTGTTATTTGATCATCGTGTGCTCCGGACACATAAGCCAACCACGTATATAGACTTCGGCACCGTACGCTGTTTATCCGTCATGTGTATTAATAGTGATTCCTTAATGCAACGCATCAGCCTAGTTTATTATCACAGATTTATAGGTAACTTTGAGATAAGTATTTATTCCTAATTCTTTAATTTCGTATACTGTATTCCTAATTACCGTATTTTCTTCTTGTTACAAATTTTTTTAATAACCTTTTTATTGTTGTTCGGGGTGCTGGTGCAGGAAACCTAAAAACATCAATCACTTTATATAGAATAAAGGTTAACTAACTCATTGAAAATAAGCTAAATTTGTCATTCTCAATAGCTTATATATTATTATTTTGCTTATTGTTTTTATGCAAAGAGATTCACTTCGCTTATTGAGATCGATAATTTAGGAAATTTATTTTCGATGTGCTACAGTTTATGCATCATCTCTACATAGAATATTGAGGGGTTCAAATTTCCTGCACCGTACGTACGTACAGCGACAATGGGAAGGTTTTCACTATGCAGCACATGTGCACCTCCTTAATTATCAAAACGAGATAATCATATAATTCTAAATATTGACCCTAGAAATTGATCACAGAATATTACAATTTCAGAATAGAGTTTTGATAACTCATGATCTGCTATTTGGCAACTGCAATTCAATTACTATTTTTCCGACATGTCCAAATAATCTGGTTAAAAGTCGAATTAAAAGATCTTCTTTCTAAATCACCTACCGAATCTTTAAGTATGCTCTTTTAAAGGGAAGTTTGAAGATCAAGGAACTAGGTGATATATTCGTTGTCATCACATCACTTGATAATAACTCGGTCTAAGACGTTAGGGTTAGTGTTAGGGCTAGGTATAGTTAGTTTAGGCCAATTTGTTAGTGCGAGTAAACAAATGACGTCATTTCATAATTTCACGTAACGTGATGATCACGAATATATCACCTAGTTCAAGTCTCCCTCGTAATTTTCATTTTGAGTTGCTGTAAAAGATCTTGTTAAAAATTTCGCTATTTCAGAGTATGTAGTCAAGATTAAGTTAGTTTGCATCAGAATTATCGTGGCTTTTACTATGAGTTACAGTAAAACTTGCTATTCCAGTAACAATAGCTTGTAGATTGTGGTTAAAGTGAGTTGGTTAGTATCGCCATTACCATAATGAGTTGCTGTAAAAATTCTGTTACAAAATTTACTTGCCACTCCGGTAAACATAATGTATGATGAATTAGTTTGTATTAAAATTATGATAATTTTCATCATGAGTTACTGTAAAAGGTTTTGCTAAAGAATTCGCTATTATAGTAAGAAATAGTGTGTATTCATAAGTAGCTGCGTGATATTGTCGCGTTAAAACAGGAACGGGTGAATATTAGCTTCATTAAAAAAACGGTGGACAACTCCAAT